CTTCTTCACAAAGCAAATAGTCACAGAAAGTTCTTCTTCACAGCAAATAGAGGCTGTGAAGGCTAGAAATAGAACAGAGTTTAAAGAGAAGTTAGATAAATTCATGGAGATTGGGTCCATGGAGTGGTATTAGCCAGGGGGTAGAAATGGTGTCCCTGGCCTCTGTTTGTGGAAGGCTGGAGATGGATGGCACGAGACAAATGGCTTGGTCATTGTCTTCGGTCCATCCCCTTCAGGGTCCCTAGTGTTGGCCGCTGTCGGCAGACAGGCTACTGGGCTAGATGGAAGAAGGCTGGAGATGGATGGCACGAGACAAATGGCTTGGTCATTGTTTCGGTCCATCTCCTCCAGGGTCCCTAGTGTTGGCCACTGTTGGCAGACAGGCTATTGGGCTAGATGGACCTTTGGTCTGACCCAGCATAGCCATTCTAAGCTCAGGGCTCAGGGTTGGGGGTTTCACTGAACCACCCTGATTTTCATGCAAACCTGCTCCTGGGTGGCCAGGCTGGCAGCTATCCTGCCCTAGACGGCAACTTTCCTGTGCCTAGTGTGGAGGTTGTGGATGAGGTCCATGATCTCCGCACTAGACCAGGTGGGTGCCCGCCTCTTGCGGACCTGGGCAGGCTCCCGGGAGCTGCCAGCCTGATCCCGGGAAGAGGCAGAGGGCTGGGTGGCAGCGGGTGGATGGTTCGTGCTGTGCCAGGTGAAGGGTCTGCTGGGTGGGTGCTGAGCTTTAAGGGCTCTGGGCCGGGAGGGGGGCAGACGAGTTTCCCTGGTGGTGCCCAGAGTGGCCACCAGGGAAAGCTGGGGAGGGCTAGCCTCCCACTAGTTCCAATTAAGTGGCTACACAGCCCTTAATTCGAACTACTTAATTCGAAGTAGGCGTTAGTCTTCGTAGAATGAGGTTTACCTAGTTCGAATTAAGCGCTCCCCTAGTTCGAATTAAGTTCGAACTAGCGGTTTGCCTGTGTAGCGCCTATCAAAGTTCATTCAAACTAACGTCTGTTAGTTCGAATTAACTTTGTAGTGTAGACATACCCATATAGATCCCAAATTAAAAACATTAGAAGAGAACCAGAAAAGTTCCACCATGGCTAAAAAGCACAGTAGAAGAAGCAGTAAGGATAGAAAGGCATCCTTTAAAAAGTGGAAGCTAAATCAAACTGAGGAATATAGACAAGAGCATAAACTCTGGCAAATGAAGTAACTACTGTATATTTTAGAGTTTGTCTGTCTGTCAGTTCAAGAACTCCTCCTAAACAGTAAGAGCTAGGATCACCAGCTTCCTCTGATCATAACCTAAAGCAACGTAAAGGTTTGGCTGTGACAGGACAATGGGATGTGCCTGGAATGGGATTGTTTGACAAGGTCCCTCACCAAAATTCTTAAGCAAAGTAGGCTGCCATGGGATAAGAGAGAAAGTCCTCTCATGGATGCATCAATGGTTAAAAGATAGGAAACAAAAGGTAGGAATAAATGGTCAGTTTTCAGAATGGAGACAGATAAAAATAGTGGTGGCCCTCCGGGGTCTGTACTGGGATAAGTTTTACTCAACATATTCATAAATGAGCTGGAAAAAAAGGGTAAACAGTGAGGTGACAAAATTTGCAGATGGTACAAAACTACTCAAGACAGTTAAGTCCAAAGCATATGATGAAGCGCTACAAAAGGAGTATGCAAAACGGAGGAGTGGACAACAAAATAGGAGATGACATTCAATGTTGATAAATGCAAATCAAAGAACATTGGAAAAGATAATCACAACTATGCATATAAAAAGGATGGAATTTAAATTAGCTGTTCTGACTCAAGGAAGAGCTTTTGGAGTCATTGTGGACAATTCTCTGAAAACATTCCCTCAATGTGCAGCAGAAGTAAAAAAAAGCTAACAAATTGCTGAGAATCACTAAGAAAGAGACAAAAAAAGAAGATAGGACTATCACATTGTCTCTATGTAAATCCACTGTATGCCAAATCTTACATACTGTACGAAGATGTGGTCATCACATCTCAAAAAAGATATATTAGAATCAGAAAAAGACTGGGACTTTCAAACTTGGAAAAAAGACAACTAAGGGAGATTTGATAGAGGGCTTTAAAATCATGATTAGTGTGGAGAAAGTGAATAAGGAAAGTGTTATTTATTCCTCATAACACAAGAACTAGGGATCACCAAATGAAATGAAATTAATAGGCAGCAAATTTAAAACAAACACAAGTATTTGCTCACACAGTGTGAAATTTGTTTCCCGAGAATACTGTGAATGCCAAGATTATAACAGATTCAAAAAAGAACTAGATACATTCCTGAAAGATAGATCCATCAATGGCTATTATCCAGGATGGGCAGAAACGGTGTTGCTAGCCTTTGTTTGCCAGAAGCCGGGAATGAATGAGATGGGCTGGCTTACTGGATGGTTATTTCTGAAGTACCTGGCATTGGCCTCTGTTGGAAGACAGGCTACTGGGCCAGTTGGACATTTCATCTGTCCAAAAGGGGCTATTCTTATGTTCTTATTAATTTTTTAAAATTATTTTTCTTACAAAACAATATGGAAAATTATGCTAAGATTAAATGCAATAATTTTATTTTCTAACTGACCCACCATTCGTGAAGGCATGAAGTGGAGAGAGAAACCCACTGGCTGCAATCAGAGCATCAAAATATACACTTGTAAAGTCAGAAGATAATATCTTAAACTATTACTAATGTCCTAACTGTGCTCTTAAAAGTTTTTTGTGCATTTCTACTTGACAGTATACAATACTGCAAAAACCAAACAAACAAATAAACAACATTCCTATCAATCACACTTAAGATCCTTCAGAGTAATGAAAATTCATAATCTAAGATCCCTTTAAGCCGCATGGCCGAGGGAGCCATGCCTGAGCCCCCATGCAGCTACGCAGATGTCTAACAAGTCCCGTGAAGTAGCTCGGGGCTACTGCAGAGGCATCTCTCACCTAGCCCCAAGATGCTGTGATGAGAAAAGGCTGGGGGGTAGTCCTCCCTCCCCAGGGCAGCTTGTACCCCAAACCTCTCATCCTCAGCTCCACCTCAGAACCTGCACCCACAGCTAGAGCCCAAACCCCAACCCACAGCCTGAGTCCTGAGCCCCCTCCCACACTCTAACCTCTTGGCCGTCACACATAGTCCGTGTATGGAATGATTTTAGTTACGTGATACATCACCTTCATATTGCAACATATAATGAAAGTAATTCTGTGCATGGACATAAACAATTAGGGTATGTCTAAACTACAGGGCTCCGTCGACGGAGCCATGTAGATTTGTTTGTTTGGCAAAGGGAAATGAAGCTGTGATTTAAATAATCGCGGCTTCATTTTCCTTTGCCAAACAAACAAATCTACATGGCTCCGTCGACGGAGCCATGTAGATTTGTTTGTTTGGCAAAGGGAAATGAAGCTGTGATTTAAATAATCGCGGCTTCATTTTCCTTTGCCAAACAAACAAATCTACATGGCTCCGTCGACGGAGCCATGTAGATTTGTTTGTTTGGCAAAGGGAAATGAAGCTGTGATTTAAATAATCGCGGCTTCATTTTCCTTTGCCAAACAAACAAATCTACATGGCTCCGTCGACGGAGCCATGTAGATTTGTTTGTTTGGCAAAGGGAAATGAAGCTGTGATTTAAATAATCGCGGCTTCATTTTCCTTTGCCAAACAAACAAATCTACATGGCTCCGTCGACGGAGCCATGTAGATTTGTTTGTTTGGCAAAGGGAAATGAAGCTGTGATTTAAATAATCGCGGCTTCATTTTCCTTTGCCAAACAAACAAATCTACATGGCTCCGTCGACGGAGCCATGTAGATTTGTTTGTTTGGCAAAGGGAAATGAAGCTGTGATTTAAATAATCGCGGCTTCATTTTCCTTTGCCAAACAAACAAATCTACATGGCTCCGTCGACGGAGCCATGTAGATTTGTTTGTTTGGCAAAGGGAAATGAAGCTGTGATTTAAATAATCGCGGCTTCATTTTCCTTTGCCAAACAAACAAATCTACATGGCTCCGTCGACGGAGCCATGTAGATTTGTTTGTTTGGCAAAGGGAAATGAAGCTGTGATTTAAATAATCGCGGCTTCATTTTCCTTTGCCAAACAAACAAATCTACATGGCTCCGTCGACGGAGCCATGTAGATTTGTTTGTTTGGCAAAGGGAAATGAAGCTGTGATTTAAATAATCGCGGCTTCATTTTCCTTTGCCAAACAAACAAATCTACATGGCTCCGTCGACGGAGCCATGTAGATTTGTTTGTTTGGCAAAGGGAAATGAAGCCGCGATTATTTAAATCACAGCTTCATTTCCCTTTGCCGATCAGCCTAATGTAGTTGATATTATTTCTGTATTTAATAAAAGACCAAAACAGTATCGATTTAAGAATAGTGCAACTTATCATGAAAGCATTACAGTCTCTGGTAAATCACAAAACTGTAGGCTCCTTCTGTCAAAAATAGCAAAACATCAGCTTTTCCAATATGTGACAAAGGAAATAATGCAGGATGAAATTAAATTGACTCCTATAATTTCAAAACAAAAACATTACGAATAAAGTAATTTGTTTAAATGTAATAAGCACAGATATGAAATTGATTTGCTTCTGATATATAGTGAGATGTTTAGTAGAAATTACTGATAAGTTATCTTGTATTGCTGAGGCCAAAAGCTTTTGAACTCCCCAAAGTTACTTTTAGCCTGCCAATACTGTCCACAAAGCAGATGGAAAACATAAAATGGTTCACACTTTATTTAAAATTATTGTAATTTTTCAAATAAAAAAGTAAAATTTTCTCTTTTGAGAACCAAACGTATTTCACATGATTTCTCAGGTGCTGTCTTTAAGAATAAGTCTAAACAGATTTTTCTCTACTATTTCTCAAGATCTTTCTTGTTCATATTTTGGAGTAACTGCATCTGTATAAGTGCGTTAAAAGCCTCTAAAAATAAATAAATCCAACAAAACAATGAAATAGCTAACCTCTTGAGTACACCATCCACACTCTGGGCCCAGGGCAAGGCACATTTTGCATGTTACTGCATTTGAAGTGGCACATCTGTTTTCCGCTGTAATGAAACATAAAAACAAACATTCATGATTGTATTTGGGAACTATGTAAAATGACTAATTTTAAACTTTGATTAAATAAACTACTATTTAGCAGATTAAGACTGGTGACAAAGTTTTTGAATAAGAGAAGAACAGGATAAGAACATTAAAAGAGACGTATTAGGTCAGACCTAAGGTCCATTTAGCCCATATCGGCTGTGTCTACACTGGGCCACTTATTCCGGAAAATCAGCCGCTTTTCCGGAATAAGCTGCGAGCTGTTTACACTGGCCCTTGAATTTCCGGAAAAGCAACGACATTCTACTGTACAAAATTAGCCGCTATTCCAGAAAAGCTACGCTGCTCCCGCTCGGGCATAAGTCCGTATTCCGGAACACTGTTCCGGAAAAGGGCCAGTGTAGACAGCCCAGTAGTCTTTTCCGGAAAAAAGCCCCGATCGAAAGCGCATCTACATTGGCCACAGATGCTTTTCTGGAAAAAGGGCTTTTCCGGAAAAGCATCCTGCCAATGTAGACGCTCTTTTTCCTGAAATACTTATAACGAAAACTATTCTGTTTTAAGCATTTCCGGAAATTCATGCCAGTGTAGACACAGCCATCCTGTCTTCTGATAGAGGCTAATGCTAGGTGCACAGAAGGAATGAACAGAACAGGTAATCATCAACTGTTCCATCCCGTCGCCCATTCCCTCCTTCTAGCAAACACAGGATAGAGGCTCCATCTCTCCCATCCTGGCTAACAGCCACTGATGAACCTATCCTCCATGAATTTATCTAGCTCTTTTTTGAACCCTGGTATAGTCTTTCACAACATTGTGCATTGTGCGAAAAAAAATACTTCCTTTTGTTTGTTTTAAGCTTGGCTGCCTGTTATTTTAATTGGTAATCCCTAGTTCTTGAGTTATGAGGAGTAAACAACATTTCCATATTTTCTTTCTCAACGCCAGTCATGATTTTATAGATCTCTGTCATATCCCCCTCGGTTGTTTCTTTTCCAAGCTGAAAAGACTCAGTCTCGTTAATCTTTTCTTATATAGCAACAGTTCTATACCCCTAATCATTTTTGTAGCTCTTTTCCAATGTTAATATATTTTTTGAGATGGGATGACCACAAATCTGCATGCAGTATTCAAAGTGTGAGCATACAGTGGATTTATATAAAAGCAATATATTTTCTGTCTTATTATCTATCCTTTTCTTAACGATTCCCAACATTCTAGGGGTTTTTTGTTTTTGTTTTTTTACTTCTGCTGCACACTTAGGCTACATCTAGATTGCAGAGTTCTATCAGTAAAACCTATGCAAATTGCAAAGTGCAATTTGCATATCTTTTCCACAGTTTTTTTTGGAAGAGGCTTTTCCAAAATTTGGCCTGTCTACACAGGGCCAAATTTCAGAAAAACCTCCTCCTTTGGAACATCCCTTATTTTGCATACAATAAGGAATACAGATAAGCTGAAAGAACACATCTGCTTTTTCAGAAACTGTTCTGAAAAAGCGGAAGTGTTCCTTGGATGCGGTAGAGTTGTCTGCTGCAGTGTAGACATAACCTGAGTGGATGTTTTCAGAGAACTATCCACAATTACTCCAAGATTTGTCTCTTGAATGGTAACAGCTAAATTATACCCCATCATTTCATGTGCATAAATGGGATTATCTATTCCAATATGCATTACTTTCATTTTTTTTGTCCACTCACCCATCTTTGTGAGAGACTTTTATAGCTCTTTGTAGTCTGCTTGAGACTTGACTATCTTGAGTTATCTTATATCATCTGTAACTTATAACTTATTTGTTGAATAGTAATAGAGAGGTAGCTGTGCTATGCTGATCTTGGTAAAACAAAAGGAAAAAATATATAGCACTTTAAAGTCCTACATATTTTTTGCTTTTGTTTTATAACTAATTTACTGTTACTCCTTTCCCCCTATCATTTATGAATATATGGAATAAGACTGATCTCAGTACAGATCTCTGAAAGACATCACTATTTACCTTTTTTCCAATCTAAAAAGTGACCAGGAGCTCTTCCATAGTTTTAGCCTTAGAGTCTCTGCCTGCTTCTGTGCAAACTGATTGTGTTTCTTGCCAACAGTGATGCCACTATGTCTGCTGCACTTCAAATTAAATATACACCAATGAATACTGAAGAGCCATAAGTTTCATTTTCCTAATGCTTCTCATCAGGGAGACACTCCAGTACCACAAAATACACTCTGATGTGAGAGACACTTAGGCTATGCTGCTACAGCTGCACTGTTGTAAGGAATACAATGTTGCGGGTTTTTGCTGTCATGGGTTCTAGTATCACGAGTGTTCTTTGAGTGGGTTAACAAGCATGTGGACTGGGGGGATCCAGTGGATGTAATATATTTAGATTTTCAGAAAGCCTTTGACAAGATCCTCACTAAAGGCTCTTAAGCAAAACAGGCTATCATAGGATGAGAGGGAAGGTCCTCCCATGTATTGGTAAATGGTTAAAAAACAGAAAACAAAACACAGAAATACTAAAAGTTTGGAAGAGTTCCTTGCATAACTTGTGCTTACCTGATGACAGCTTGGGAACTCTTGGTATATATAAAAATAGATCAATGCTCAATATACTGTGATCTTAATGTCCAATCACATCTTTCAATTAATGGCAAAAATCACAATGACTTAAATAGAAGCATGATCTGCCTTCTATTACATACAAGCTGTGTCCAAACTGTTTTACAATTATAATAATCAAAATAATTCAGAGAAAGAATTGAACACATATGAAAGGGAGAAATACATTATATATACGTTTATTTTCAAATGAGAAGAGTGTAACACGGGAAACACAATTTTAGATCAGAAGAAATGCTGCAGAAGAGAAATTGCTTGAATGGGCAAAGAGAACGTTAGTGCTAGGTAAGTGGAGGAGCATGAAAGAAAGTAAAAAGAACAAAAACAGTCTATGAGGTGTACATTTGCAAATCCAGATGATTTTTTAAAATTTCAACATGGTAAATTTGGATTACAACTGAAATGAATTCAAGGCACTTCAGTACTGTTCTTTGATACCATCAAACTTCTTTGAATTTTTGACATGGGCTTGAGCATCCTCCACTTTCTGAAATCTAGAGAGCTGGATTTTGGATGCCCCAGAGAAGATGGTGCTACAAATTAAAAGGATGGAAGAGGACAGCACTGATAAGGATTTTAGTCAAGGCAGCACATTGGCAAGGTTGCTGAGTTGTTGATAGACAGATTTGTAGGCATAAGAGAGTCCAGAATGATGCCAAGATGTTGGAGGAGGAAAACAGAAAGGATGGAGTTGTATTTGAGGATTTCTTTGCTTAAGAGAATCACTTTTCTCTTCAATTCAATATCTACTGAAGTAGAGAAGAAGCCACAAGTTTATTGGGTCATGACAGACAGAGGCCAAGTCTACACTTATGTGGAAGTTCAAATTATGATATGCAACTCTGGCTATGTTAATTGCATAGCTGTAATTGACATATCTTAATTCAAACTTTGGTACCATCTCCACAATAGGAGGTCAATGGGAGCAAACACTTCCATTGCCTTTCCCTAGCAAGGAGTACCAGCATTGACAGTGGCACCTTCAGCATTCAACTTAGTGGGCCTTTACTAGACCTGCTAAAATCCAACACCAGAAGATGGATCACTGCTGTGTCAATCTTCTGGGAAGTGAAGATGTGGCCAGAGAGAGGAACAGGGAAAAGTCATAAAAGGTTCCAAAGGGTATAGAATGGCTGATCATCATCCTAAGGATGGAAACTAAAAGAAAAGTTAGGGAAAAGTTGGACTGAAGAGAAAAGAGGCTAAGGCCTCAGCCATGATAACGTCCATTGAGATGGAGCAACATCTAACAGAAGAGCTGTTGGACATGTAAGAGCTGGGGATGTAAGTGACTAGTTGACTAGTGACTCAACTATTCGCTTTCCCGATGCTTGCTGACTCTATCAGAGAGAGACAACAAGGGAGGATGGGGGGCAGGGAGAGCAGGAGCTGTGCCGGGTGAAGCCAGCTTAAAAACTGGTTCCCTCCCAGCACCATCTCCTTCCCAGCACCATCAGTTGATTCCCGGCTTGTGCCAAGTTCCCTCCACTGTGCTTTTGCCTGATGGCTCTTAATACATTTAAAAGGCAGAACTGCAGCAGGGTTAGCTCCCAGGGCCAGGAACTAACCCTGTTGCGGCTCTGCAGTTTCCCCCCCTTATCAACTAATCAACTAGTGAATGGAAATTTCATTGACAGTCAATTCGCGGATTAAATGCCCAAGTAAGAGCAGAAAGTTTATAGGAGAAATCAACAGGAGAAAGTGGTCCACAGAACTGAAGGTTGCACTATGACCAAGGAGAACAAGGAGAGGAAAAGAGCCTTAATCAGAAATAAGAAGGTTGTGAGTTACATGTAAAAGATCAATTCTACTATTACTATTTACCTTAAGAGTTTTTAATATGATATATTGGCCTGTATGACTAAATAGACAAAAATGGGCCAAATTAATCCTTTGTAATCACTATAATCAAAGGAGTTAAACCAGGAAGCAAATGAATATAAGGAAGTCATTGTACCATATTAAGAGAGTGCTCACTACAGATATAGATTCCAATATACATAATACAGGTAATTTATTTACAGAGTTCTTGTATATACTGCTTAAACATTTCCCAGAATGAAAAGTTACTGCATGTGTAACATGATCTATATAAACTCACATCTGCCAATAAGGATAATGAATGTCAATCATCAACAGGATGAGTGGACAGCATCAGGAAGCTGAAAAAGTACAAAACTTCTTCCTGATTTTTTTTAATGTTATTGCAGGTGATGAATTTAGCTAGATTCTATTTTAGCAGAAATAACTAGGAGTGAAAACAGCAAGAAAAAGAAGACTCTAAACTCTAGTTTGGATTTTCCATGTGACATTGTCAGATAAAGACAGTTAACAAATGCGAACTAGAGAACTGTCAGAGAGAAATCTTTTTACTGGGAACTTTTCAGT